AACACAGGTGAAACAATTGTGTTGCTAATAGCTCAGAGTTCATAGAAAGGGAAGAGACTGTCTTTTGGCGCTCAGTACCTTTCAAGGTAGGTTATTCCTTTTGGTTATTGTCTTTTAGGGGGGTTTTGTTTGATTTTGTTTTTTCGTAGAGAAAAATGTTACTTACAGGTGCAGGTTCAAAGGTTTTGGGGTAGCAATCTTTTTACTGAACACTAAGTGAAAGAACTGCCACCAGAAACTCCCTAGACACTGTCTTTCTTTCTCTGCTTGTCTTCCTTTCCCCATGGGCTGCTCTGTGCTGGTGCTCCAGCAGTGGTGACAGTGAGGTGACACTCCCAGTATAATTCTCTACAGCTGGAGTGCCAAGTCAGCACCAGCACTTCAGTAGCAAGGGCAGAGTTGGTATTAAAAAGGTCAGTTGGGAAAACTTTGTTCATTTGGTTTTCCTTTGCCTTGAGGCACTGCTTTGAATAGTGTTAACCCTTTTTTCTTCCCACACTGCATCTTTTCACCCTCTTTCCTTCCTGCCAACTTTGATGCAAGATGGTGTTCAAAAGGCATTGTGGGTGACACTGCACATCTCTTTTGGGGTGGGAGTGATCATTTGTGCTTGGAAGTGTTGCCATGTGCTCTGGGAGTACAATCTGCTCCCCTGTGTAGAAACTTAGTGGAAGAGCAGTGCAGCAGAAAACGGTTTGGAGTGTGGTGTAGCAATTCTTAGGTATTATAATCTCAAGGGTAAACGGTAAACTTTGTTTATTCAAATGCGATATCCCTCTTTGAAGTTCTGTTCTCGTCTAAATTTGTATACTAACAGGTCTGGCCTTCATTTAAATAATCCTTGGGGTTTTTTCCTGCCACATAGGGAAAAAAAACCCAGTGGGAAAGCCTTGGCTAAGCTAATAGTGTTGCTAAGATGGAAATGATGAAGAAGGCTCAGGATTCCTGTTTGGGCCTCATGGGAAAAAGTGGTTTGAAATGCATGTGTGGGGGGGGTGCACATTCCTAAACCTGTCATTTCTTTTCCCTGTTTTTCCTTTCCCACCATGTTCTGTACTACATACTATGGCATGTTTAATGAAACCAATAAAACTATTTGGCTGAGAGTGTTAATCTTTCCTTGGCCCAATTAGCACATGGCGTCTACTTTAACGTTAATGTGGATTTTTTTCAGAAGGCAAAACAATGAGCAGCTTTGTGCTATGTACCAGGTTTTCCCCCTTCTTGCCTGTATTGTGTGTTTCTTCCTATCTATTCCAAAGGGAGAGCTCATGTGCAAAGACAGTGGAGCAGTCTGGAGCAGGGACTTGCACCAGCTCCCAGGGGCGGGAATGTGCTGCTCTGTGCTTGTGTAGCTGCCTCTCAATGGCAAGTCAAGTGACTGTGACTGAAGACTCATCATTTCTTCCTCCTTTCTTCTTCCTTCTCCTGTGGCCTGTGTTCTCCTTTTCACTTCATCCCTGATGCTCTACACCAGAAGGAGAAGCAGCTGTAACTGTTCAGAGTGGTCTTAAAATTAAAAAATTAAAATCAACTAAGTACACATAAGTGAAGGGTGGGAAGTAACTGCTGATGGCTTCAGCTTCAACATCCAGTGGAGTCACACTTTATCCCAAAGGAGGAAATAGGTCTAGCAAGTGTCTTCCTGTACAGACTGAATGGGAAGCAACAAGTTTTTTTTTTCTTTCTTTTTTTTTTTTTTTAAAAGCTCTGCTTCCACAGTGCCTCTCCCATTAGCTGGTTATGTGGGCAGCAGGGGTGGGCCTCTGTCAGAAATAGGAGCTAAACAGGAGCCTCAGGTTTCTCTGTGGGATAGAAGTTGCCCCAGTTTCTTGCTTTCAACATCACCAAGCAGAGGGAACACATTCCTGCAGGAGAGACAGGTCTCTTGGTGTGGCCATGTAAAGAGAGCTGCTGCATTGTTTTGTTTGGTCCTGTCCCCCCTACCATGTGCTACTGCTCTTGCTTAGTCACTAGCTCTCTTCTTTTCCTCCTTTTCACAGAGGAGGAATGTGACACTGGGGGATTTCTTCAAAGTAGAAGATGATTTGAATGCTTGTGACCACTTCCCTGTTTCCTAGAGGCTTTGGTCCGATGTTGAGTGCAACCTGAGGCTGCACTGTTTGCCAGCTTATTTCCTGTTTGTCCTTTTTCCTGGAGGTCTTTGTTTTCTTTTGGGGAGAGGGAGGAAGGAGGCTCCATCAGCACAACTGCCAAGCAGAGGTATTTGTTGTGAGCTGGGAAGGCTTACTGTCCTGAAGGCAGTATAGCATAGGACATCTGTGGTGATTGCTGCCTGTCTGATTTCCCTGAGTTTCGTAGGTGCTATGGAAAAAAACCCCAACACTTCCCATCCTCAATGATGCGTATTTAAAGGAAAAAAAAAACCAAACAAAAAAAACCAAGGCTGCAAGAGAGATCTCTCAGTATGTTCCTGCCTGAAGGCTCTCTGCCACGGGTTTTCCCACAGGAAGGAGTGATTTGGCCCAGTATTCTTATTGTTTCTATATCCTATTGCAAATAGAAAGTTATGCTTCTGAAATCGGTGTCTGCTGCTCATGCAGTTGTCTTTGTTTCAGAGGTGCATTTTTGCTTCATGTAAGAGAGTGGAAAATACATAGGTATATAAAAGCATGCAACCAGTGGTACCTACTTCAGTGGTGATCTTCAGACTGATTTCAAAATGGGAAATTTTTAATGTACAGAAAATGGTTTTAAAAACAAGATCTGTGACTACATATCTTTGTTTGCCTTAGCAGGAAGATACTTAGATTTGGAAATAAAAAATACTTGTTGGTTCATAGAAATTATAATAACATAGTACATAGCTTTCCTTTTGAAAGAAGGACAGAGAGCAAGCTGGCAGGTTTTTTTAAACCATGAGGTAGATTTTTTTTTTTAATGTGCATGATACCTGCCTCTTCTGCAGACTGTCTCTGAGCATTTCCCATTTTCAGTGTTGCTGAAAGCAGCACTAGGAATTCTGACCCTAGTTCTCTGGGAAGCTACTCAGCTCTCTTAAAGTTACATTGGCAAACATGGGAGTCTTCACAGTTGCACAACAGATTCTTTCCAGGATGTATCGGTGGTGACATTAACGTCCTATGTATTGACTGAAAGATGAATGAATTTGTGTATTTTGGAAGGAAGAGTTGTTTTGTTTGTTTGAGTTCTTTTTTTTTTTAAGGACTAAAGCACTTACTTGTTTTAACAGAAATCTTTCTAAAAAATTTAAAATGGTCCTTATTTTTGGTGGTGCTAAGCAGATATAGTAAGAAACTTTAGATTTAGGCTGGTCTCAAAATCAATTCTTGTGCTTGCTCTATTCAAAATTAAGTCAGCTACCACATAAATGGTTAAAAGGTTGGGGGGAGGAGAAATTACTGTGTTGCTTTTGAATGAGATGGACATTTTTAAAAAACAAAATAACAGTGAAGTTACAACAGTTAAGGACAAACAAAATAAAGATAGGCAAACAAATGGCTCCCATAATTACTGGAGAAAATATAGAGGTATGGATGCTTGGAGCTTGGTTGGAGCAACAAATCTGTGTTGCAGTGACCACTAATACTTTCTTAACAGAAAAGTACAAAAGCGATGAGGGAGAAGTTGCCTTGAGTTATTCAGGATAGTATTTTTGTCTGTTTTTGAAGGTGCAGATTGAAAGCAGTGTTTGTTAAGAGGTTGATGTTATCCTGAGTCCTAAACACTGGGCTTAGTTGGGTCCCAGGTTTAGTATCTAGACTGCACTGGCTCTCTATGTCAGATAATCTGTGTGCCACTCGTAAGAAGGTTGGCAGCTGCATGTAGGAAGGTTGAATCCCCTGCTTTGTCTGGCATGACATGAAATAAGGAAGTGTTTTATAGAAGGTGGGCCTGTTTCTATTTGTCTGCCTTTTCCTGGGTGCTCTAAAATGTTGGTAGTTGGGATAATGTAGTAATTTATTCTTTTCAGATGCTTTTCAAACAGCTTTTGAAAATGAGTTACGTGACTGATTTGCATGTCATCCTTGAGAATATCTTTTCTTAAAAGGAAGAAACCCTGTTAACTGTGGTTTGAGGGCAATTGTCTCTGCTTTCTGATGAAAGGAAAACCTGTATTAAGTTTACTGGCTGTGATTTGTACATCTGAGATGGTGAAATGTCCACAGTGTGTTTGTTTTAATAATTAAATAAACACTTTGCTTGTAAGGTTATAAAGGTGTATTTCTCCATTAAAAATATATCAGTTTTCCATATTACAAATAAACTTTTCCAAAGGCTATAGCTGTGAGCACTGTAGGCAGAGAACTCCTCTTGTTTCTCATGTATTGATCATTCCCCATCGCCTCTAAAAATGATGCCCAACTGCCCTGTCATTCTCCAGACAGAGCAGGTATCCTTCCTGAAACCCCAATGATAGCATGACAAGTTTGGGGTTTCACAAAAGGGGTGTGGAAGAATTCTGTTGGTACATATGATGGTTGCTTATGTCTTCAGCTCATCTAGGAATCTTGGGCAATGGATGTGAGGAATGTGCAAATGGTCCCAGAAACCTCAGTAGTCATTTCACCATTGCTAGAAGGAAGAAGGTGGTCACCATGAGTTCATGTATTGGAGTAAATGTTAATCCTCCAAGAAGAGAGGAGGGGAGCAGTTCATGTATGAAACTGAATTGCTTATATTCTCCACTGCAGAATATTCTTCCAGCTTCTTAATCAGTGTCATGACTGTTAGTGATGTGCTAGCTTGCTCTTTCTTCCTCCTCCTGTTTTTTGCTGGCTTAATACTGGGGACCAGGCTGATAAGGGTTTCCTTTCTTTGACTAGATTTTGCCACTGGCAGGGTC